GGGGACGGGGGGGGGAGGGGGGTGGCACTGTTACAAGGCACCTTCGATTGATGTGTGCACAAAGGAAGACTTTTCCACTGACAACTCATTACTTGCCTTGTGGAATTATTATCAGGTATTTAAATTTAAAAATCCTCCAGAAGTCTTGTAGAGTCCCCCAAAACATGCAGTTTTTCTCTAAAACTGCATCTGAAGCACATGGAAGCTTATCATCATACAGTGCCAAGGGCTTCTCCTGGACCACATGGGAAAACGCATGAGGAACGAGCCAGCGTGTCAGTTAGGTCTCCTGGCTACAGCTCAGGGGCTCCTGGCTTTTTCGTATTTATCTATATGTGTATAGTTATATTTACAACCATGAATCAATAGATTTATTTTTCTTTATTATCTGAAGTTTGGGTTAAAATGTGAAAACGACACAAAAGGAGAAGAAAGGAAAGATGGTAGGGAGAGAGGAATTGAGAAAGAGCCAGAAAAGCCCAATTCTGAAATATTGGTGCAGGTCAGCCAAGAGGAAACTCTTAAAATGCAAATGTCTGCTGCTGGTGTGACCCACCAGCGGTATGCCCTGATTTAATGACTATGGGTGTGCTATGGTATATACTGTCCCTCAATGTGCTGCAGGTACAAATCAGTGCCATACAGTCATGAGTATTCATGAGAGGAGAGCAAGACTCTCCTAGTTTGTGATAATAAAACATGACTTTGGGACTAGAGTACCAAAGAGTCAGAAGGAAAGAGCTGAGACCAGATAATAGTTTATTTCTACTCTTTTAGAGAGTGTTATTGTTCAGTTGGGACTTCGTACACACTCCATATCCCCTGGTTCCCCTGAATTCCCTCACTGCATCAGGGCAGCAGGCCTGGGCATGTCATCACACACTGCCTCTCACGGTACAGACTGAATGCTATTGGCTAGGACACAGCATCTTTCTCTGGATATTCCTGGTATCCCAGAGCACAGCTCTCGTTTCTTCCCAGGATATATTTTTAAGGACATCTCAGGACCTTACAGCATACCTTTCTCCCCCACAAACGGCAGCGACCAGGTGAAAACGTCCATGAAATTTGGGAGCCAGTACGGATGGGGAGAGCAGTTGAACTGTCTGATGTTCATCACATTGTTCTCGTACTTCAACACTGCAGCTAAAGCCAGAAACAACACAAGAGGACATCGGAGTCAGCACACGCCTCCATCAGGAAAACTCAACTCTTTGAATTAAGTTCCAAGCCATGACGACAAATAGCCACATCAGCCCTGATGGTCTGATTCACGGCCTTACTCCCTTAAGAGGATGCTACTGTGTGTGCAATGTGCGAGCGGAAATTTGAAACAGCATTATCACTTGGAAAATATTTCTGTAATGTAGTCAAGCAATTATCAGGAATCAGATCAAGAGCCTCCTGTGGTCAGGAACATTCTAGTCTTACTACCTGATGGTATGAAAAAGGTGGCAATGATAAGTTGGGCTGACATAATTTAGTAATCTCCCCGATACTGAAATTAAATATCTCTCCCTCTCGCCCTCCCCCAAGCAAAAGCATACTTTTTCCCCAGCAGCAATCACAATAGTTACATTAATCAGCATAAATTACACTGTACTTTTGATTAGATAAATTAAAGTAAATTAAGTAAGATTTTGGATTTAATGCCAAGGCCTCCAGAAGCAACGCTGCCTGCTTCTCTCTGTGGTACCTACGTGGTATCTGTGGGCTGGATACATTCTCATGATAGCATGGCTACTCTTATTTCTAACTGGATATGGAAATTCCAGCCATGCCCACCCTGGTCAATCCAAACATCCAGGCAAACAGGGCTTTGTGTGCACTTTCAGTGAAGGTGGAGCCACATGTTTCAGGGGAGACTCCTAGCTTAAGACTTGACAATAGCAACCTACAGGACATACTCAGGTTAAATTTTACACCTGCTTTTTCTACCCACTGTCCTTACTGTTGCTACCTGAAAAGACACGGAACAAATATAGTTTCCCCTAAATGAGGAGTCCTTTAATGATGCTGCCCTCTTATTTCCAGCCTACCTGAACTATACAAGATTTCATTTTTATTATCCTCCACCAGGGCTAGTGTTGCATTGATAGTGTGTAATGAATAGATCCCAAATAATGTAAAATGAACTATTTACACTGACTGGTCAAATACACAGAGTTTTTTGTTACTTTGCATTTCAAGCTGAACTTTATACAAGGAATACACTCTAGCTTGTGATTACAGATAATAGAACAAAAGTCTTTACATATCTATTAAATACCTTTATTGGGTTTGAGCTTCCATACCAATGCAGAGCTTGTTGTACAACTCTGTCTTTAACATAACAATGTTTTCAAAACTGATGCCTGATCTGGAATATTTTCTGTCTTGGATTTCTATGAAATCCAAGTCCTTCGCACAGGTCTGCAAAGCTCAAACACTCTCCTCTCTGTGGAGGCTTACTTGGTTCCCTTTGATAGATGATGTCTCTTCCTTGAATTCTAAAAGCTTGGACTTACATACAGAGAGCACAGTTGTCAGGGAACTTCGATCAGGGTCAGTCTACAAATGTGTCTACTTGACTTCCCCCAACCCCCATTTTAAAGGCCAAGTACTCTAGAATAGGCTTTAGGTTTTGGTATCTGCTGTAGCCTTTTACTCAGACTTGATCTGAGAGGCTGGAACAAATCCTACCATTCCTTCTATAATATCCCTCAAGCAAGGGCCCCTCATCCCTCTGGTATCCTTCACATAAGACTTATTGTCACTTTTCACCCTGTCCTGGATCTGGATGCATGCCAGATGGCCAGTGTCTCTGGAAGTGTGATTCGGGACTACCACAATCTTTTCTGTAGCCTTGACTAGTATCCATTTGTGTCCGAATCCAGGAAAGGCTCATATTTTGACGTTATGATTTGCCTCCTATGAGCATTGAGATGCAATCTAAGAGTGCTGATGTTTTTAGCAACTTGGAGTTAACTGGTATTTGTGTGCAGGGAGGCTTTGGCTGTGAATGATAGACCTAGTTGACTAACATGGCTCTAGAACACACAGAATCAGGCACTTTGGGAACACAGATGGCACAGTTAGTACAGACAGGAAGGGAGCTGGAGTTCTCTTCTGAGAGAATACTGAATCCTGCATATATTTCTGGAAATGGTCTCTTGCATTGTCCTATTACTCAGGTAACATGCCATTTGGCAAAAATAAAACAAAAGAAAACAAACATAAAGACACCTTGACAAATTACCACACCAGCACTTCTGATCTTCAGAACAAACTATTTCTAGTGTTTGACATTATTATGAGAGCACCGATTCATGCTACAATTTTCACAACTTGATATCATTGCATTTGTTTTTATAACTTCAAAAGCATCTTTTAGGGCTCAAAGCTGTCTTTTTAGACTAATTGTTCCCCACCCCTCTTCCCCAACTTTTTATTCACACCAGGTGGTGGTTTAGCAGGAGAAAAGAAAGAAAAGGTGGCTGGCTATCACTAGCCATGGATTCCATATACGTGGGTTCCACCACGCCTGCAGGCAAAGGACTGACAAAAAGGAAAACTCTGTCCATACTGAACATGCACAGGCTTCCTTATTGCCCTCAGTCCTTAACAATTCACCACAGCAACTTTTCACAGAGCTTTGCTATTGTCTTCTCTATTGTGAGTGACACAGATGAGGTGACACATAACAGGTGCTGCCTAAGGGTTAGGTACACACTGTGCTATTTTATGTAAGGGTCTTGAACATCTGTGGATGGTGTATTCACAGAAGGTCTTGGGGTCAATTCCTAGTTGCCACTTGGGCACAAATATATTGTGATAAACACAGGCCCTGGATGGAGAACAGGGAGAAGCTTTAAGAACTATTTCACTAGATCCACAAAAGGAATCTGAGAACGTGTGTGTGTGTGTGGTGTGTGTGTGTGTGTGTGGTGTGTGTGTGTGTTGGAACATGCATGCTCTTATCTGCAGGCAGAGCAAATTCATCGGGGAAAAGGAGACACTTGCTGAGGATTATCTGCATGCATGCTCTTATCTGCAGGCAGAGCAAATTCATCGGGGAAAAGGAGACACTTGCTGAGATTATACAACCACCAACAGGCACATCTCACCCCCTTTCTACTCAGTTTTTCCTGACACCAAACCTATTCCTTTTCCGCTGTTCCCTGCTGTCCTTCATAAATTATACATGCACGGATGCTAGTCCTAGCTGTGATACTAATTTAACTTTGGATGTGGTATTCATATTTAAAGATGGTTCAACTTTTGCCAAAGTACATGCTCAAGTGAGAGGGGATGCAAATTCCCGATCGAAGGCTGCCCTGTCAGAGAATTAAAGAGAAGCTTTGTTCTGTAGAGAAGTGAGGTAAAAGCATCTGCTCAACACAGCTTATTTCAGTACTTCCCAAGAAAGCTCATACTGCTGATTTTGTGTATTAATGATGGGAATGATACACTTGAAGAGGAGTTACACGCAGAATCTAGGCACAGCAGGGCACTCAGTTTGGACCTTCATACATACAATCACAAATCACAGTGTTTTACTGAAGTGTTCTCACCATTTCTCTTTGAGAATAAGCAGGGAGGTAAGCAAGTCACTTGTCCACGTTTTCAAAGAAGTAAACGTCAACTTTGGCCCAAATACAAATCATCTATCTAACACATACACACAATTACCATAACAACACAAAGTATTCAGTGTCTATCAGAGTTTGGACAGACTCGTTTTCCTTTGACATTACTCTCTCTAAAGATGAGCAGAAGTCTGGAGTGCCAAGCACCTAGACAACTAGTTTATTCTGTCACTACGTAGGACACCCAGGGCGACTTAATGGCTCTAGGTTAGGTCTCAGTTTCCTTACCTGAACATGTGGGTTTATCTACAAGATTTACATGACCTCTTTCCCATTTAAGCAGAATTAACAAACTTTCAGAAGAAAAACCTCATGATTAATAAAATGACTGATCAATGTTCTCAGTGTTCTTATAGGCTACTGCTGTTGTACTTTTCCTTATTTTATTATTGCATAAAAATAATGAATTTTAACTTAAAATGCAGAACCTCAATAGGTATTCTTTTCTCCAGTGACATGACATATTTGTGAAAGAAGCCTTTGAGTAACCTTATATCTATTAGTTACTCATAAATTTTAGTATTCTTTTGCACAATAATCATGTATTATCACAATATATCGAAAATAAGCTACATTAGTCTGAAACATCTGTATTCACAAAATTCAGTTAACATTTCATCTTCCACCTCCCACTCCTTCCCTTCCCTGATACCTGCCCCCTGCCCATCACCAACTACAAAAGCAGCTGGAGCCCTAACAGTGTGCTTTCCTCTAAGTATCTGGCAGACAAGCATCCCCAGTGCTGTGAACAAAATACATACTACTTTATTTGCACAAATGCTGCAGACACCTACTAACTATTTGAGGAGAAGCAAAGAAAACAAAACAAAAACCAAGTGTTCTGTCTACCAACAACTGTCAGTTTCCCAAGACTTCACATCACTTATGCTTGTCCCAGAGGGACGCAGAGACACGGCGACACATTTGTGGGCCTTAAGTTATTCACCGTGACTTACAGCAGACCAGACAGCACAGAAACAAATGGCTGTCTCTTGAAGCTGCAGGTGTGAAAATGTGCCAGAAGAGACTGTGATGCAATGGAAAGAATACTAATCCTACACATTTGGCGGCTGCACTGCTCATTCTTCTTGTGATGTCAGAATAAATGATTTCAGAATTATGCAATTATTTGTACCTGCAGAACTCCATCTTCACAGGCACGTGTCTGTATATTTAAAACCAGCCACCAAGGGCCCAGCGCTGCTTGTGAAATGGACACTGGATTATAGTTACTTATCACAATTCTGGCATACAAAAAAAGGCCTCTAATATTAAGCTCTATCTTCAATCCTTCAGTACTCTCAGTAGCATGACTGGCTCTTGCATCCAGTGAATCCCAAGGAATACGTGTCCCACCATGCACTGGACCATGGCCAGATTCTTAGAACTAAGGGGTTTCTGTGATTTAAAAATTGTTAGGGTACACACACACACACACACACACACACACACACACACACACACACACACGCACACTTACTTTCATTTAATAAGAACTTTGCACAAGTTGTCAACATC